CCACAGCTTTCTGTATTTTATGAAATATTTCAATTTTAACATGAAACTAATGACAAGCCCCAAAATTGTCTGTTTTCTTAGAACAAGCCTTAAACTATATAATATATATAGCAAACCATTATCGCTGTGTATTATATAGACCCATATATAATATATACGTATATATCCACAAAACTGACCAGCAAAAAAAAAATATATAAAAAAAAGAGGAAGCGAAACTGAAACTGCCACCGATGCAAAAAACTGAAACTGCAAATAAAAATAAAAATAAAAGCTCCTAGAGCAGAGAAGTAACAACCGCAAGGCTGTTTGCCGGATAAAATGGTGGGGACTGAGAGGGAGACTGAGAGGGGGCCTGAGGCGGTTTGACGGGGTCTGAGGGGGCTGGAGGTTCCAGAGGGCGGTCTGTGGTGTGCGGCGGGCGTGGTCGAGGGCCAAGGGCGTAGCTGGAAGCCACCGATTTATCCCCAAGGGCCCATCGAGTAGAAGAGTACTATATTACGTGACCAGCCGGCAAAATGACAACCGTAAATCTGCGGTATATTTCATGTGGTTGAACGGACCAAAAAGAAAGGGGGCCGCTGGCTTTTGTGTTTTTTAGGAGTTAAAAGCTGGATATAAATACAATATATATTATAGGATTTACAGACAAGGTTTAACCGATGATTTTAACAGACTTTAAAGAAGAACACAAACAAAAACCTAAATATAATAATATATATTTTATATTTATATAGAACATATATTTTATTGATAAATTATATATATTTTTCTATATAAAATATACTTATTTAAACAAAAATCCATATTACTCATACGCCCCCACTGACACCCTGTAAAAACCTCGACTTTTTGCCCTAAAGAAGTCGTCTACGTGGCTTTAACCTGAACTTTGCCATTTTAAGGACCAACTTTAATGCAGAATTGGCTTTAAACAGCACAAAATAAAAACAAATAATAAAAGAAACAACAGAAAAGGTCCAACAACAGTTGCTTATCTTGGCCAAGAAGATAAAATGAGGAAGATGTAAACTCTCGAGACTCTGTTGGCCATATGCGATTGACCCTTTTTGGCCGAGACAGAGCGCAAAAGTAGGCGTAAGAAGGCAACAAAAAGTTTGGCAACAACCAGGACCTAAAACGGTCTGGCAATAAAGCAGAAGGAATAAAATGGTGAAATTAGGGAGCAAAAAGGAGGCAAGAACGTGTGCTTGCTTCTCTTTTTTTGTGTGGGTTCATAAAAATTTCTTCTTCCCTTTTGTATTTCTGTTATGTTTTCGTTTCGGCCGTCATAAAAATAACGACAGAATCCCTCAAAAACAACAGGCAAAGTCTGAGTTAAGGTCGTTTAAGGGTCATTACACACACAAACACATGCACACACACAAACATATAGATGTGCATAAATAAAGGACTCCGGCATGTGTAATAAGTGTTTATGTTTGAGAGCTGTAAGTCATCTGAAGTGTTGATGATAACTCACCAAGTTTAAGGCTTAAAGGCAAACGACGGCGGTGGGTCCGAAAGTTGGCTAATTTTTATGAATACTCCTTAATGGCAGTAGCTTTTTACCGTTATAATTTTTAATATTTATTTTGGTAAATAATTTAAGCATGGGGAGTGGTCACAATATGTGTTTTTATATTGCCGAAAAGACTAGGGGTTTTAAATCCTGGAAAGTAAATGCTTTATGAGTTTCCTAATTGATCTCTTAACTTAAAAGCTTAAGCAAGTTTGTTCTATTGAGGTTTTCATTACAATTCACCAACAACTTGAACAATTAGTTACTTTTTGAAACCAATTCTTTAGCTTTTTACATTTTTTTTTTCTTTTATCTCAAAAGTTTTCATCCATTGCACTTTGTTGAGTTCTCGGCTGCTTCCTTGTCTCTCATTTTATTTATTTCCTTTTTGATTTATTACCTCAGTTACGCGCTGCCCTGCCGTTCATTGTTGTTGTTTATCACACAGCAAACAGTTTAATTTATATGACAAGCCATAAATTGACGCGTCGGGAGCGGTGACAAATAATAATAAAAAGGAATAAACACACACAAAAACAAAAAATTACCAAGGCACAAGTGATTTTTTACATTTTTTTTTTCTACAACGATTCTCCAATGCTATTTTTCATCATAATTTTTAAGGTTCCTCGTTTCTCTCTTTCGCTCTCTCTTGCATTCACTCTCGCTCTCTCTCTCTGTTCCTGGCTGCCGTCGGCGGACCCGGCGTCGTATACTTGATATTTCTCGATTTCCGTTCGATTTGTTGAAACTTTTTCACCAATATTACAACGCGTTATCAACAATAGTTGTAAAATTATTGTCAGATTGTGTTTTTTTATTTAAGTTATTAATATTTAGTATTTCTTTTTTGTTTGGTGGCCAAGTGAAAAATCCGTTGCACGTAATTAACGCAATTAAAATCAAAACATTAATGACCTGCGCTCCTTTTGGACCGACGTCGCCGTCGACAGCGGCGCTGGCTGCGCAGCCCGGTCTGCCGTCGCAGGCGCCAAACAGCAGACGGGCAGAGTTTTCCCTTGGACTTTTCAGCTAAATTTAGTAATTTTTTTTAGAGTTGTGAAAATACTAATAATTTTTAGATTGCCAAAGTTGGTATAAATAATAATTATTGTTGAGTTATTGATGTGGTAAGGATTCTAAATATACATCTCTTTAGATGTGGGTGGATGCGTGTGTGTGTTGCAAATTCGTTGCCTACTCTTTGGGGCCAGCAGCCATTTTGTTCTGCCTGCGTCGACGTCGACGGCAACTGAAGAGGCCGCCGACGCTTTGCTATTTCCATCTCTCTCTGGCTCTCGTCCACAGTCTGCGCAACTGCAAAAAGCAAGAGAACAAACGGCGGGTTCTCTCTAATTCGCTTTCGCTCTCTCTCTCTCTCTCTGTCCTTCGCCATTACTCTCTCTAGCTCCCTTTCTCCGTCTCCCTCTCTCTATCTATCTTTTTCTCTGTCTGTCTCTTTTTGGGGCTGTTGGTGGGGTAAAAAAATGGCAGCGTTGAAATATTTAACGCTGCTAAGTATGCTACGAAAATATTTTTGCCAAGAAAAAAGGAATGTTTCTGTTTTTTCTGCCAAAAAAAAGGAATATATATGGATGTGGTACAAAAATGTAGAAAAAACATAAATAAAGGAAGAAAAATAAAAGAAAACACGCTCAAACATACACACACACACATAAGCATTATTCGAGGCGATAAAGGCGTTGCTGCGTGTGACAGCCAAAGCAGTAATGTGTGTGTACGTGTGAAGAGGAAATAGAAATACAAGAACAACAAGGATGTAAACATTCAGCATAAATTTAAAACGAAATTATTTAAATATTACATTAAAATTAACATTAACTTTGAAAGAAATAAGCAATATTGGAATTTAAAATAAACATAATAAGTCTCTTTCAAGTTTTTGATTATTATAATTCATATTATATTTTTTATTAAAATTTTTGAATTATTACATTGCTGATTTGCTGTTTGCCTTGTACGTTTTATATATTTATTATATTTAGTTAAACCTATTTTGGTCTTTATTTGTTTTATTTGGATTAGTAAAACAAAATATATATGTTTTTTTTTAACTTTAATATACTTTCTTTAAATGCATTTACTTAATTTCATGTGATTTACTTAATTCTTTAAATTTAATTTCTATTTATTGCTTTATTCTCTTTAATTTAAAGCCTTAATTGCCATTTGTTGGCCGTTGAAAACTTGGCAAATGTCAAATAATTATCCAGACTGAACTTTAAAGCTTAAACCACTCTCTCGCACACTCTCAAACACACACACATCCTTTAAAACTTTGCCCGTCGAGTGAAAAGGGTAAACAAAAGGATACTCTGGATGGGGTTGAAGGAACAAAAAATATAACGTAGAAGGAGAACATTTTGCAGCTGCTTTTGGCTTTAATGCGTTTTTCCGGGCTGCCTCTTTTTGGCGTTTTTGTATTGGTTTTATTATGGCCAAGTCAGGAATGTATAATTATAGCCATTAAAAAGGCTTTAACATGGTTAAAAGGAGTTTCTTAACAGAACATTTATTTTCATTTGAAATATTTTTTAATTTGAAATATCATTGAGATTAGTCAAAATGTAATATCTTAATAACATAATTTCATAATCACTCCTTATATTACTCACTCGTACTTCCTCATGCACCTATATTTATATATGTATATATAGTCTGCCTGTATGTACTTGTGTCCTATTATCTTATGCATGAGTCTCTGTTTTATTTATACGATTTGTGTCAATATTTGCCAAGCATTTAGCCGCGCGACTTTTGCAATGCCTTTCTTGCCTCCCTTAGCGCCAGTTTCCCCTAAAAATTTTCTACTTCACAAAATATTTTCCAGGATTACAAAAGACAACAGAGCAAGGAAGTAAACAAAAATGAAATGTAGGAAGAGGAGAAAAAAAATTAAATTTGGCGCTGGAAAAATCAACAATCAGCAGCAGAAGCAGTAGTAGCAGTAGGAAAAACATCAATATCAACATTCAAAGTTTGGCTGAAAAACAATGGCCGGCATTTTCTTTTATTCCCACGGTAATTTGAATGGCAAATATTTCGATGGCAAACGATAAACAATTAGTGCAAACAAATAGACAAACTGCGTCACAAATTAAAATATATATATTTCGTTGCACAAAATTGCGCCTAAATATACCCAAAAGCGTACCACGTGTCGTATGCGTAATTTGTATTTATTGCTGATGGAATTTGCAGATACGTGAGAACCAGAGAACCCCAACAAAGGGCGGAGGGGTTAAAGGGGTTTTGCATTTCCGAGGGACAAAACTCTCATTAGCAAAGATGAGCCCCAATTGGGATAGGAGTTGAAATTTATGAGGTCCTGATTTCAGATTTCAGCTCAAATAGATAGAAGATTGGCAGGGAAATTTGAAGCTTTTGGAAGGAAGTTAACATGGGAATTTTTATAAACTTTTTAATCTAGTATAGGATAATATTAAATAGGACTTACCACTCAGCGAATTTTGGCCGCAGGATGGCGCCTTTCCCAACAGATAGTCGGCATTGCAGATGAACTTATTGTCGTCCAGCACATAGAGCTGCTCACCTGTGCTCAGCTGTTTGCGGCATATGCAGCAGGTGAAGCAATTTAAATGGAATACCTTATCCCTGGGCTTACGCACTAGATCCGATGGGGCAATACCCTGGCCACAGCCACTGCACTTGGTGCCATAACGTCTGGAAAAAAATATATATAAACAAATATATATTATAGCTATTTAAAGATATTGAATTCCTACTCTAAAGCTAGTTTCTAGTTCTCGAAACCCTCTCATTTCTAGCTCACATTTTTCTTTTAATTTTCCCTGGCAGTACCTTTCAATGGCAAAGTCAGGAATTCATTTTGCCCTTGCTTTCTGAGCTTTTCTCGTTTATGGATGGCTTTTGTCTATCGCTGTCACTTGTTAACCTTTTACCAACTGGCGCTGATTGATAGGACACCTTTCCACTTAGCCATCCTTCCATATATTCATCCTTCCATTCATTCGTTTATTCATCCTTCCTTCCAACCATTCTGTCGTCTTTCCACAAAACCCTTTCAGCAAATCAAGGAGCTGGGCCAGGATTTGATTTCATTTTGATTTGCTCAGGTATTTTGCATGTTAATTGCTTTCTCGCCCGGCGTTCTACTCGTAGCTACCGATTTTTTATTTTTTCCATTAATTTCTTCTCTTTTTTTAACCCCTTTATTCTTTTTGTTTTCTATTTTTTCAATTAGCTGAATAACACCGGCGACCGGTGTGAAATCAAATGGAACAAGTCAAAGTGCCAATGCTGCGAACGCCAACTTGGCTTAATTGATTTGATTTTGATTTGTTTTGGGAACTGATTTGATTGTTTGAGAATTTTAAAGATTTAAACTATATGATACTATATAGATATGATTATATTTATATTTATACTATTAAACGCACCTAAAGAAATCGCTGCGACAGTAGAGCTTCGATTCGCGGCTAAAGCATTTGTCGGTTAGCGGTTGTAGGCATTCACAGCACCGTACGCAGGAGGCATGCCAGGCGCGTTCCAGGACATTTAGCAGGAACTTGTCCAGGATGGGTTTATTGCAACCGGCACAGGGATCGCCCACACCAACGGGCGGTTCACTGCGACCTATTAAAAAAAGAGGAAAAATATAGAAAAGATTAGGATAAATAAGTAAAATATATAAATAAGGATTACCCCCTTATTACAATATGTTTATATTGAAACATTAATAATTTGTAGCTACCTAAACTTCTTTTTAATTGAGCTGAAAAATCTGTGGTCACTTTAACTTGTGGGGAGGGGGAAAGCTGGGAAAATCAGAGGGGAAAGCGGGGTTGCAAGAGCACTCAACTGTGCGTCCGAAAATCCTTCGAGGCGCAAATTAGCACCTCGCTCTGGTTGCCTCATTAAGTTTGCACATGTGTGTGTGTGTTTGTGTGTGTGGGTTCCTTTGCTCTCCCCCTCCCCATCCCCCTTTCCCAGTACTCTTACACACCTGAAAATGAGCAATTCCCAGGTGCGTGGCCTTGGACAGGTGCAAACATTTGAGGATTTACAATTTGCACTTTGAATTTTGCATTTAGACAAATTTGGTAATTGCCGAGGAGAAAGGATAATGACCTCCCTTTCCCAAACTAAATCAGGAATTTAATTTTATTTTCAGTTCTTTACACTTATCTCCCTAGTTTACCCCTAGAAATAAACCACATCTTACTATAGATTTAAATGTCTCTTTGAATACCTATCAGAAATTATATTCGACATTATTTTAGAAATTATTTGGGAACTAGAAAACTAATTTCAAATGTCTTACAAATAAATAAACTTGTTAAAATATTAATATATTATAAATCTTCGTATTGTTGAGATAGACGATAAATATACTTAAATATAAGTATTTATTTCAAGACTATACTAAAATATATAATAATCTTTCAAATAACTTTGATTTTATGTATTTATTATTAAGTTTAATATTATAATTTTAGCGTTTAGTCACATTTAATATTGAATATTCGTAATATTTAATATTGTGAATATTTAAAAAACTCTATACGTTATTTTCGGTGCAAGAATCAATGTTTTAAGATCTTCCACCTTGTTAGTTCTGCCAGAAAAGGCGGTTCCGGAGGCGTGGCACTTGTATATACACATATATATGTATATATATATATATATATAATACATATAGGTTTCTTTTTTATTCGGGGCGAGTACCACCTCTGTGCTGTGTGTGAATAAGCAAAATCGAGAGAAGTGCAACCGAATAATGATAGAGGCCAAGCCAAAATGGAGCCCCGAGGCCTGAGAAACTTGAGTCGAGAGAAAAAAAAGAATAAAAAATAAAACAAAAGTGGGAGTAAAGAAGAGGGGGGGAGTCAGGGAGAAGGATTCCTCCTCCAAAAGAGAGATAAAGGAGGTGGAAGCTGGTGGATAAGGAGCTGAACCAACTGCCTCCTTTCGCAGTCAATCAGTCAATGGAGTTGCAAAAGGCCAGGAACTCGCTTCCTTTTCTTTATATTTTTTTTTTTGTACTTTTTTGTATTTTTAATTCCTAAAAGAAGAACAAACTTTTGTGTTCGTTTGTTCAACATTTGCAGGTGAGGCCTACTTGGCGGGCGTGACCAGGTACAAAATATATATATACATATATATAAACACAAGAGTCCGCAAAATATAAAAGAAACTGAAAACAAGCCACAGAAAATGCAGAGGAGAATCAAAAAATACAACAACAACAACAAAAAAACCGAAACTTGTGTGTGAAAATTTATTTTCATTCAAAAAGTTTTTAAACATTCAAGGCGGGGAGACCAGGAAGAGGTGAGAAAAATGAGGAAGAGGCGGGAACAGCAGAAGGAGAATTCGGAAAGGAAGAGCCAAAGCAAGTGGAAGGAGGAAGGGAGGATGTTTTAAATAAAGAAAGGATGGATAAAAAGGAGTCACATGAATGGGAAAAGGAAGTGGGAGGAATGTGATGGGAACTAAATGATAAATACAAACAACAAAATATAAATAAATATGAAAAGATAAAAAACAAGAAAAAAATATATTAATAAATAGGAAAAGTTTAAATTGATTGACTTATACACAAATATTATAAGAATATTACCTACATCCTTCATAAATGTCCCCTTTTATTAATCCTAAAAACATTAAATCAAACCAAACCTACCAATTGGTAAAAGAAAACTACAAATTGCTGCTTCAAAAATAATATATAAATATGAATAATAAACATAAGTAATGATAAAAAATAAACCAAACGTTTATAGAAACGAATATTAACGACCAAGAATAAACCCCAGCGAGAAGACAAATTACTGACACTGCCAAAGGAGATGACGAACGGAATTCCTCTGTTCCTCTGCTCAAAAATATATATCATAAACTCCCTTCAAAATTCCTTCAACTCCCACAATGACATGACCCACATTAATAAAGCTTAGGGTGTAGCCTCTTCAACATTTTTTTCATCTCCTTCATATTATTATTAATATTATTATTATATTGTTTTTTTTCGCGTTACTCATACGCCCCGTACAACCGACAGTAGCCACAGCCTCGAGCTTCGAACTGATAAAACCCCAAAAAAAAAAGAGAAACAAAATGAATGAATGAATGAAGCCCCCAGGAAGGCGGTGCGGGGCACGACAGCAAATGCTTGGCCATTATAAATGAGCAACTGACACACTGATTGATTGACGAATTGACTCATTTTCGCTGCTAACACAAGAGCAGAGAACCCAAAAAAAAAAAGAAAACAAGAAGTAAAAGAACAGGAAAGAAGGAGCTTGAAGAACAGCCAAGAATTATAACGAACATCCTACCTACCTACCAGTAACATCAACAACAACACCAACAATACCAACACCAACAACAACAACATCATCGCAAGTGGCAAGTTGCAAGTTTCAAGTCCAGACCTTGCCGCATATGTCAAAATTGACGGATGTTATCAATCATTTCATGCCGCTGCAGACAATTTTTAATGAAGGTTATAGACGTTTATAGACGGAACGAAATGGCGGGATGCGGATGTATTTGGGGGAATGGGAATGAGGATGGGCATGGGGCATGGTGCATGTGGACTCTGATGTTGAGGAGATGCTGCCAGAACGAAAACCTGAGCAGCAAACGGACCCCGGAGCGAGGCTCAATGAACTATACGAAAGCGTTGAAAACTTGGGTTAAATGTGGTTCGTGTTGCTGTCGTGCATGTTACTGTTCGTTACTGTTGGTGTAATTTCTGTAGTCTTTCTTGTGCTTTGTTGTAATTACGGTTGTTTTGCTGGTGTCGCATTTAATGGTTATTCTATATCTGTATTGGTGCTATTATTTATTGTTTTTATGGTGGTAATTATGTTTGGCAAATATTTAAGTTTCTATTGCCGTTCTTAATAGAACCACTTAATATCAGTTGGTTTACTATATAGGTAGTTTATGTATAATTGATGTTAACATTGTTGTAATTGTAGATTTTTGTTTTTTTTTTTAAATTATTATTGTAATTTTTCTTTATCTTTTGAAATATATTTTATATATTTTATAATTTCTATATATGATCGTTGGTGTAATTATTTACCTAAATTACAACTGTAAATTGATACTTTTAAGTGATTCATAAAATGCACTTTTAATTGATTGTACTTTTCTTTTGATTTCTAGTCTTTAGTGAATTTTTCATTAATTGTTTTTAGCATTTTAGCTACCCGAAACCTATAAACTTCCTCTTTGCCTTGGCAGTTTTTCGGGACTTTTTATCAAGCCACTTCTTTTTTGTTTTCTTCTTGTGTTTTTTTAATTTTTTACTTTATACATTTCTTTTTCGCCCTCTGTCAGTTGTGTCCGGCACCTTGGCGGGCCCTGGACTTTATTATTCGTGCCTTCTGGCGCGTTTTTAAAAAGCGACAAATTGTTGTTTGCAGACGCCGACCACGTTGTTGTTGCCTGTTGGTGTTTGTGGTGTTGTTGTTGTTGGTGTTGGTGTTATTGTTGTTGTTGTTGCTTCTGCTGCTTAAGTGTCGCAATTTAAATATTGTTGAGTGCACTTTTGGCTACCGTTGGCCATTTATTTTCGCTGAAATTTATGTAACGATGTGAAAAATTGCCAGCTACTGGAACGAAGCGAAATATCTCGGCTCTAGGCGCTCCTCATTGCCATTTTTTTGTTTTTGGTACTCTTTCTCTACAGTTCAGTTTTTTCTCTGAATTTTTTTCTCTATGCCGAGCATAAATATTGATTTGTATATATTTTTAAATATATGTTAAAGAGCTTAAAGCTCAATATATATTATAAAATAAAGAAGAAGGTTTCTGAATAGCTTTAATATTCTTAAAAATAATATATATTTGTATAAATATAAATAGCCTGAGTTTGTTTACTGCTTAAACTAAGGTTCCCTAGTAAAAAGTGATATAAAAACTTTAATTTTAAACATTTTCCTTTTTTTTATTTGTTTCTTATAAATTCTTTCTTTCCGTGTGCATGGATCTGTGTGGCAGGCATTGACCGCATCGCAGAACTGAAAGAAAAGTGCAAAGTGGCAGCCGAGACACGTACAAAGCATTTTGCACAACATTTTCCGCGCTCACACACACCCATTTATATACATATATATATAGATATATATATATATATATATGGAAGGCTATATAATTGTGTTCCAGCTTCTCCGCAATCCACGGACTAACTGCATTTATAATGCAAGCAACAGCAGCAGCTTCTTCATGGCTCGCTGGGTTGTTCCCGGCAACACCCAAAAGACCGGCCCAAAAAAAAAAGAAAAAAAAATACAACAAAATAAAAAATATATAAAAAAAAGTAAGGAAAAAAATATAAGGATGAGTCTGGAAAAAAATAACAAATGAACTGAACTCTGTTCCCCAGCTGCCGTAACTGCTTCTGCTGTGGCTTGACCAACATCAGGCCACAGAAAGTACAGTGAGGCTTTTGTAGTAAACGAAATTCAAAAGTCATTAATATATAAAAAATAAACAAATTGAGGTTTTTATATTTGATATATTTTTATATATTTTCTCTTTATTAGAACCCTAGAAATATAAAATAATCTCGTCTTAAGCGAAGCATTCGAAATTAAGACTCAAGAACTTGAGCTTATATT